TTTCATGAATCATTGATTGATGTCTAGTTTCACGCTGTTTCTAAAAGTTAAAACCGCGCTCACGTCATCAAACATTTTTTTTCGTCAAAAATATTTTACGGCATGGCTACGGACATTGCGGCAAAAGGCCATGAATTTTTTTTTAGAAATCGAAGGTGGTCGAGCGCAACGTCTGGGGCGTTTGACATGTAATGAGCCTATATATATATATATATATATATATATATACACAAAACAGGGTCATATATATACTTTTTTTTCTTATCTTTTTTTTTTTTGGGGGGGGGGGGGGGGGGGGGGGGGTTTCGGTTTTAGTGCCCAAAATTTTGGAGTTGGCCCTTTCGAGTTCTTCGAAATATAGCGTGTCAAATTGTGGTTGTTGCCGTGCGCAGCATTTTATTGCGTCTTACACTCTAAAAAAAAGCCCGTGCGTCTACTTTCCCGCACAACACTCGGAGAGCCAATCATCGCAACTTACGGAGGCAGCTCAGCGAATGACGATGCCGAAACATATGTTTAGGCCAAAAAGCGCAGTCTGAGTTGTCATTAAGCGATGGAAAACGTCACGCTTGCATTGCTTAATGTCACAACTCAGACTGCGTTGTTTGGTCTAAAAATATGTTTCGGCATCGTCATTCGCTCCCTGGCGGGAAAGTAGATGTACGAGCCTTTCTAGAGTAATTAAATCGTAGTTTTTTTTTTTTTTTTTCTACTGACTTTACACCGGGCATGGACCTATCGCTTGTTACCGGTCCGAACCTAGCATTTTTATTCTTTTGAGTAATTCCTCGGCTAATTTCGGAGTGTTTCATCGGGTTTAATAATTTTGAACGCCACTCCGTGACAGCGTACGCCTCGGAAGCACGCATACAGCGCAACAGGCGCTGCCACTGGATCGCCCCGCGCCCTCTAGTGCCACATACGGCGGTGACAGGCACGGACGACGGAACCTCCTGAAACGAATTCTTTCTCGTCTGCGTCTCTGTGCGCAGAGAGTGACGCTGCGCGTCGTCAAAGCTGCGGCGAGTGAATTCATCGACGCAATCGGCAGGCGCATGTAGTCCGCGCGCGCGCGTGCGTGCCGTGCGCGGCCTCGTCATTTGTCGCCGCCGCGGAGAGGGCCCCCGAGTAATGGGCATTTACAAGGAATCGGCCCAAGTTTAGCCGTGCCCGAAAATGCTCATTAGAGGATGCAGAGCGCGCGCTTGCGGCGGCCCCATCTGCGCGCGCTTTCGGCCCGACCCCCCGAAATAGACCGCGGGCCCGTGTTTTGAGCGCCCCTCGGAGCTCTCCTCTTTCCGCCCCGGGGAAACCGATCGGCCAAAAGTGGAGTAAGCGGAAGCGTGGCACGAGGGGGGTCGGGGGAGTTCGGACGGGCGCCGCCGTCACCGGGCTGTCCGCAATTTGCGCGCCTGCATTGCCGTCGCCCTTCTTAGCAATGCAAAGGTAGGGAAGTGGAAGAGAGTCCATCGTGCCGTCGCCCGATCTTTAGACCGTATAAACCGTCTCGCGGGGTCTGTCCCGCCGCGACACGACGGACATAATAGGTCGGGCGCGCGAGGACAGATGGAACCGCGAAATCGTGATGACTTCTGCGCGAGTGCGCGAGGACAGATGGTAACAAAAAAGTTGCTACCATCGAAGAAGTACGCAACTAAACCAAATGTTAGCAATGATTTTTTTTTCGTTTTTATTAAATTAAATGCCTGTGTTCTTTTTTTCTGTTTTTGCTGGCTGTTGCAGTATTTATCATATTAGTATGTTTTAGTAGGTCGTTCCGACGACTTCTGTAACAATGTTTTGTTACAGAACTATCCAAACGCATCGTATTGTTATTGGGTACCAGAGGTATCGGAACGATCTTCTAAAACGTTGAGGGTGACTGTATTCGTCGTCGTATGTGCGGTCCTGAATCTGTCGAGCAAAATAGGTTCCTGGGTGTCATCTCTCGAAATGCCAGACATATGGAAGCAAGCGTTCGTCGACTCGTTTGCATCGACGAAAGCGTTTCATTTTCGAGAACTTTGGCAGTGGCACAAGGAGCCGTACGCCCAATCCTATCTCTTCGAAGGCAGTCGAGATGCGCGCTCTACTCTTGTTAGGGCTTCCATCGAAACTGTTCCAAAAAAGATATTTGGGTTTCAAACCGCTCGTGCTAAAAGCGACTCTCCTCGAAAATGGCCGCCTCGGTGCCGAAGCTACACGGAACGCCTATTTGCAATACATTTTTCATCGAAATTCGCGCCGTCTATAGGGAGTATTCACTGGCGGCCATAGCTGTGTGCGCGAATGCTGAGCGCGTGCTGACGGCGAGCTTCAACAGTTCTTTTGCAACGTGCATTCCGCACCATCAAAAGTGTCGGTCTTAGCAGCCTATTGATGTGAGCTCGTTCTGAGCATGCGCTCTAAACAGCACCCACAAGTATGGCGTCCAGTGAATACTCCCTATAAGTACTTGGTTTCAGCTTAAGTCCAGATGCAGCCGAAGCTACGAGCAAATGGGACCATTCAAGCAGCGTCAAAAGCGCAAGTCATTGGGCCTTTTTCTGTTTATGATTAGTTCAGCGGTGATGGGACACGTACAGAAACATGACGAACACCATGATGGTGGGCTTTTGACGCTCTCTGATTGGTGCCATCAGTTGGTAGCGTCGGCTGCGTCCTAACTTAAGGATAAAGAAATGTATAGTTGCGGTTGCAATCATCCCTGGCCACCAGAATGGATGTGAACATTCTGAGCGTGTATGGCACCCGATTTCTGCGTCGGAATGCGGCTTCTGTCCCACTCATTGTTTCGCCGGTCGTACGGGTTCGGGTTTGGGTCCAGTCACATGCTACGCACTACAAGTATGGCGACCGCCGCAATGTTGCGTTTCCCGGCTTGGTTTTAGAGCGCAGCTCTTAAGCGCCCGTTTTCGGCTTGAGCGGCGACGCCGTCGCCGTCGGCGTAACCGCGCGTTGCATTATGGGACGTTTGCCATCATGACGTCCCACGTGACGTCACGAGGGCAAAATTTTTCCGCTAAATTAGGTGGGAAATTTTTCCGCTAACTCTGGCGGGAAAGTTTTACCCTCGTGATGTCGCACGTGACGCCACTCAACTCGCTAAATTTTACCATAGTGACGTAAGACGTGACGTTACGTCTCACGTCACCCTCCGAACCGAGCCCTCCCCTCCTCCTCCGCAAGAGCTGCGCTCTAATTCGGCATTACAAAGAACTGTAAACGTCTCTCATTTTTTTTTTCTTTTAATATTCCTTAAGCTCAATGACAGGCGCTTTAAAATTATGGAGCGATAGACAGCTGATTTCACGTTGGTTGCTACTAAATCCTTAAACAAAACGAAAAAAAAAAAAAAAACCTCGAAATTACTGCGCAGTTTGTCGTTGAACTTCAGTATTTTGCACCGTCTTATAATTGGTAACCATTTCTTTATTGAACTGCTTGGGAAACTTCTGCGCGAATTCTCGGGATATATTTTTTTTTCGACGTCCATGAAGATATCTATCACATTTGAAACCAATTCGCATAATTTTCTGACCTGTCTACTTGTCGCGAGCGAGCCTCCTGCGACCGACCAACGACTTGTGTTGTAGCAGTGCTGCAATACAAACGCTTCTCTCTTCCTATGCGGTGAGCAAGTCGTCTACATCTTGCACAGGGGTTGCGATGACGTCAGAACACTAAGCTCTTATTGCCTGATTGAAAACAAAAAAATAGTGGGTAGACCTCATGGCATCTAGCATTGAGGTCTACCCATGCATCCTTCCAATCAAAGCCAATCAAGACTCGGCGTCCTTCTGACGTCATCGTAACCCCTGCGAAAGAAGCAGACGACTTGCTCTCCGCATAGGGTGATAAACGTAATACGTGTGCAAACATAACAAGACCCTTAGTAACTATATTTGCCGTTCAGCACCTAATATATCACTTTCGTTGGGCGCGCATTACCCCCTGCGTGCATACCTGATAACAGATGCGTGCCGCCTGCTTCGTAGGTTACAAACCTACCTACTGACGCGAGTGTGGGTTACGTCAACGCAATTGTGAATAGTCCGAGTCTGCGAACTAGAATTTTCACGTCATCACAGTGAGATCGAGCGAACCCGTCGATTGGCCACGAGTGCTGCGTCAGTGCTCGGCTGAGACTCGTGTCCAATCAACGCGTTGATTGGGCACGAGCTCGGGGAACGGGCTCGGGTTCAATTGCCGAGTTGGCGCTATCGGACTGCGATGAGGTTCTATGGAGGTAGAAGACGTCGTTTTGTAGGCCTGGACTGTTCTAGGTAGGGTGGGCCAGAGATGCTATCGCATTTAAAAATAATGGCGCTACTCATCGGATGGTGACCAACTGCACTCAATCATTCATTGCCCACCGCAAACAACGAAGCGGACGAATGCCGGACGCGTTCTCCAGTCGAGACGATGTTCCTCCCTGGCTCGCTCACATTGAGAGGACTCGAGTAGGCGCCACACGTACCGAGTGATGCATAGCAAAATGAGGAAGCTGCGAGGAGATAAGGTTGGAACAGTGAGCACGACATTAAATCGCTAAAAGGTCGTCGAGTGGGGGTCGCGACGTGATTCGGGGAGCCAAAGAACGCGCGCACGACGTGCCCCCCCGCTCCACCCGGAAGCCGCGTCTCTCAGAACCAAGTTTCCTCCTCGCATCGATCCCCTACGCAAATGACCCCACGGCGCGAGCCGAGGAAGCAATTTGTCCTCGAACACGTGTGCTCCGACATTCCAGGAAGCGAAACGAACGGCGACGCGTTTTTGGGCCGGGGCCTGTCGTCGGGATTTGGATGGCTCGGAAAATGTCTCTCTCGTTATTTCACCTTTTTGTTATCCTTTCTTTCTTTTTTTTTGCAGGGATAATTAGCGACTCCGGTTGCTTATTTATGTAGACGCGCGCTGCCAGGCAGCAGGTAAATTTCGGATGTTTTATCTTTTTTGTTAGCGCCATGTGAATGAAATTTGTAAACCTTGGACCGTTAAACATGTCGCGTCTTTATCAGCGTAAGTACGTGTGTCTTGCGGCTAATTTGGTTAATTTGCTTACCAACGCACAATGAAAACCGTGTTTTTAACAAAATATGGTCTGAACAAATAGTAAAAGACAAACTCGATCTTTTGATCCAATTCTCCCCGCCTCCCCTGATGTTGGCCACACTCACCGCCACAGCCGATTTATCCCGAAATCATTATATATATATATATATATATATATATATATATATATATACAACTACGCAAATTAATAAACTTCTTCGATTCCATCTGAATGACCGGTCGTACCTGGATGTGGTCGTATAATCACTGCTGCTTTGTGCACGTTCAGCCCCCATGTTAGCAGTCGTATCGCACTGACCATATTGTCTGTATACGGCGGGGACAACCGTTTCGAGCGCAACCTAAATCTGTCAGATGGCGCCCGCCCCACAAGCCTCGCCATAGTTGCCCTTACGTTCACGTGGATGACATTGCGGAAACTGTCAAGGTGTAGTAGGCACGACACAGTTAGCACGGCTTTTTTTTTTTTTTTCTTTTTCCCCCTTAAACACAAAAAGCAGCTCATCAGAGCTATTAGTGTGCAATAAAGTGCTGCTCATTCGTGGCTTCGCACTTAAGCGGCGAAATCTGACGCTCTTCAATTCCATGCCTCTATGGTTTGTAAAATTCGAAACATGCGCCAGTGGAGTATTCGTGCTAACAGTGTCGTGCAGCATACATCAACGCACCCTGGCGAAATCAAGGTAGGCCGACTCAGTTGTCAAATCGGGCACCATGACAGAACAGCACACGACAAAACAGCACGCGACAGAACAGCACGCGTCAAAACAGCACAGCGTCAAAACAGCACGCGACAGAACAGCACGCGTCAAAACAGCACAGTTTCAAAACAGCACAGCGTCAAAACAGCTCAGCGTCAAAACTGCAGGGCGACAAAACATCACGCGTCAAAATAGCCCGCGACAAAACAGCACGCGACAGAACAGCACGCGTCAAAACACCACAGCGTCAAAACGGCGCAGCGTCAAAACGGCACAGCGTCAAAACGGCACAGCGTCAAAACGGCACAGCGACAGAAGAGCACGTGCCAAAACAGCACTGTATCAAAACAGCACAGCGTCAAAACAGCACAGCGACAAAACAGCACAGCGTCAAAAGGGCACAGCGACAAAAGAGAACGGCGTCAAAACAGCACCGCGACAAAACAGGACATTGACAATATAGCTAGGGTTTGGCGTTTTTGGTTTGTGTTCGTTTGAAATTCGGTGCACTTTTTTTTTCGGTTTTTATTCCAAACATACGTTTTCGGTTTATTGCGGTGAATATTTGTAGACTCATAAACTTCTCAGTTCTTTTCGGTTTGTTGACGAAAATCAGTATACTGAGGAAAATGCAATAATTTAAAAGCGTTTGTGTAAAATGTATACTGAGTGAACCAGGTAGGGTTTTCTTATTTGTTGCTGTCTGTGGCAGCCGACTCGACCTGTTTTGCTAGACGCACTGGGGTTTTATCGTGATCTGACATTATCTTCGTATTCTCGTATTTATACACAGGATCACTTCGATCGGAGAGGCCAACATCAAAATGCAGAAATTTGCAAGCATTGTACTCGGTCCGTTTTTCCCCCCTTTGCACGACTGCGAGAGGTGATAAATTCGCGGCGACCACAGAAATGGCAATAAACCACACGTATTTATGCCCTCCTCTAATACATGGAAGCTAGGGGTGTTAAAAAAAATTCATTGTTCAGTTTACGATTAAACTCTTTTCTTTGAACAAAGAACTTGGCACACAAATCCCTATCAGGTGAAAAACCCAGATTTCGTCCTGAAGACC